GAATGTGGCTTGTGCTCCCTAGGGTTGCATAGTGCACAACCTGGGCCACCACACAAGGCAACCCTGAAATAACGGCTTCCCTCCCAGGGCTGTTGGGAGGGTGAAGTGAGATAATGTTTATAAAGTGCTTGAATCATGGTGATAATTGGTTGTAGTTACTATTTTTTTCAGTATTTGAAATTTTCTTATTCCTACCCTTTGGCGTGAGAACTCACAAGATGACCCCGGGAAAGCAGCTTCTGCCACAGGGCAGGACACACAGCTCTGTCTTATGAAAACGATTCTTCCCACAAAGTGGCCCCTCACCTGGGCTGCGGGGCTGCCGTGCTGAGAGGGACATGGACAGGCGGTGTGGGGTCCCACCACAGCAGGCCAAACAGGGACACCTAGAGCTGCCCACTGGAGACTGGGTGGGACCCAGACCCTGGGGAAGTGGCCTCCCAGTGTGCAGAGCCCATTATGTGGCTCAGTCGCACCAGCCCCAGTTGTGGGGAGGGAAACCCGTGCATAATGGAAACTCCTCACAATACAATGTGGAAAAGCAATTTCAAGAATCATTTTTATTTTCACTTTGAAGCCAAGGAAAACAGTTGGATTTGCTTTTCTTTGTTGGTCATAGGAAGAAACTGAGGAGCACCTCTTTGATTGGAGTTGAGTTCTTCTCCAGGCCTAAGATGGCTGGAATGCTGGGGAGTTATTTCTCTTGGGATGCAATTAGTTGAAGAAATATCAAGAGAGCAAAAGTAAACAAACTCATTACTGTCCATTAAGAACTGCCAAACTTGCAAAAAACTGAGGAGGGGGTTGGAACCTTTAAGGAAAATAAATTACGCCAAGGCCAAAGGCAGCACAAAGAGCACAGCCCTTGGTGTCAGGCTGACCCCAGCTCTAGGCTGAGTCAGCTCTGGCTCTTGTCTGCCATGTGCTCCTGGGCAAGTCACTTAGCCTGTCTGGGTTTTGGTGCCCCCATTTATAAACTGGGGGGAATACCAACCTTGCTGGATTCCCTGGGACAGTGTATGTCAGGCACCTAGCACAGTGCCCTGTTCCTTCCCTTCCTTCTTGTAACCCGACTGGCTCCAAGTCACTCCCGCCAAGCCCAGACCCCACAGAAATGTGACAGTAAGACCCAAAATCATGCGGCTTCATGACTGGTCCCACCAGCAGCAATGCAACCTTGAGCACATTACCTGACACCCTCTTGAGCTTCAGTTTCCTCACCCTCAAAATGGGCATAATACTACTAACCGGCTCTGAAGGTCGTGGTGATTACATAGATAATGCGTATGTATAGGGCCTCGTGAACCTAAAAAGCTGTACGAGTGTTAACCGTCAAGTTTCGTTCTCTTTTTAATTGAACAGCTACAAGAAATGCTCTTTAAAGATTGCCCAGTTTCTGATTGCGTTTGCACGTCTGGTGCCTCCCCGCTCTGTGCCCAGCGCTGTGTGAGATGCTAGGGACCCCATGACAGCCAGGACCAGTCCAACCAGCGGACTCCTTCAGGGTGGGAGGTGAGGCTAGACAGAACTCCTGGGCAGGCCCAGCTCTGTGACATGGAACAAGGCCCTCGGCTGTCAAATGGGAGAGTTAGTCCTGGTATCTCCTCGGGGCGGGTGGTAGGATCAAGGAGATGGTACACGTACGTGCTGGACACACTGCCGGAATGTGGTCAGCACTCCTCACCGCCAGTCGGCTTTGCTGGTGCTCTCATGCTGCTATCATGCCATCCCCACCTCTGGCTTTGGAAGCACTCCCACAGTCCTTAGCTACTGTGCAAGGTGGGTTGGATCACCCCACTTCACAGAAGAGGCTCAACCTTCAGGATCTCAAGCCCAAGGGCACAGAACTTTGCCTGGGAAGCTGTGAGAGCCCACACTTGGGAAGGGACAGAACTCAGTGGTAAACAGTGCCACCATGCCAGGTCTCGAGGCCTGAAGCCAAGTTGCCTTCCTGGTCCTGTGGCAGTAACTTGGCCAAGGTGGAGCCCTCGCCGGCATCCGCAATCAGCATCACAGCAGCATGGAGAGGCAGGTGAGCGGCCTGTGGGAAGGCAGCGCCGGCAGGCCCGCCCAGGCCAGGAGGGGGACTCCTCCCCATTGGTGTGGGTTGGGTGTGGCCGCCGGCACAGGAGCAGCTAAAAGTGCGCTGGAAACTAGGCAAACGGTCACAAACTCAGCGAGGTTTACACTAACATCACTGCAGCCCTAACCTCATAGTCTGACCCGCACCAGAGGCTCCAAACACCTTTCTCTGCCTGGCCTGAAAGGCCTGAGCTGGCCTTCGGAACCAAGCTGGGGCTTCATCATTCAAGTGGAAAGCAGCTCAGCGTGGCCCTGGAGAGCACGGGGTCTGTTCTGTAACTTCCTGCTGTCCAGGCTGCCCACCAGAGAAGCCCCCAGAGGGGTCTGGGGAAGACAAAACCTTCAGGTTCTGTGGCATGGTTGTTATTTTAGGGTAAATTAATGTGAAAACAGAAAGTCATGATGCTAATACTTTATTACTAGAAACCAGATTAAGAACATTTCTGTGTAGTCATTAAGAGTTTGAAGGTTTGAGTACATCAGGCCAGGGCTGAGTCCTGGTTCTGCCACCTTCTAGCTGTGTGCTTTTAGGCAAGTCACTTAGCCTCGCTGAGTCTCAGTTTCCTCATCTGCAAAATGGAGGGAACTCCCTGGCGGTCCAGTGGTTAAGACTCTGTGCTTCCACTGCACAGGGTGTGGGTTCGATCCCTGGTCGGGGAACTAACATCCCGCATGCTGCGCATGGTGGCCAAACAAACAAACAAGAAACAAATAACAACAACAAAAAACTAAAACGGAAATAACAACAGTATCTACCAAGAAGCCATTGTGAGAATTCAATAAAGTAGAAAACCCTTGCAAAATGTTGAGTGCAGGGTCAGGTACACAGTGGGCACTCACTAAGTGGATGTTAGGGATGGTAGTAATAAATGTAATACACGCCCCCGCCCTCAGGCAGTCACTTGCCTGGGGCTCCCCGGCCCCGCCTGCTACACCCCTTTTCGTAGCACTCCCCACTTCACAGCAACTGTTGGTGGCTGTGTCTTTTCATTCAGTCCATAAATATTCACTGAGCTCCTACATATTCCAGGCCCTGTGCTAGGCACTATGGGTGAGGAGTGACCAAAACAGACAAGCCCCCTGCCCCCACGGAGCTTCCTCTCTCGGGGGTTGGAAGGGAGACACTACATGCCTGATGGTGACAAGGACTCTGGAGGGGGAAGGTGGCGAGGTCACAATTTTAAGTAAGCAGGAAGGCCTCACTGGGAAGGTGATATTTCAGCAAAGACCTGAAAGCGGTGTGGGGGGGTGTGCAACACGGAAGGGGCCGAGAGTGTTCTAGGCCAGATCAAGTGCAAAGGCCCCATGCCATCAGTGCGCTTGAGGAACGCCCAGGAAGCCAGCATGGCTGGAACAAGTGCGAGATGAGGTCAGGGAGGGAGTGGGGCCAGAGCGGGGGGCCTTAGAGACCCATAGCTTCTTCTCCAAGACGAGGAGCCACCAGAGGATTTTGAGTAGAAGAGTGACCTGATTTGACTTTTTTACAAGGTTCACTCTGGCTGCTGGGCTGAGGAGATGCTGTAATGGGCAAGTGCAGGAGCAGGGAGACCAGTCAGGTCCAGGCGAGAGGTGAAGGTGGGCTGTACCAGGGGAGGTGGGGAGAAGCAGTAGGATCCTGGGAACAGTCCCAGGATATTGCTATTATAATTTGGTGGTGAATTAGATGTGGGGTATGACGGGAAGAAAGGAGTCAAGGATGACTTCAAGTTTGTTGGCCTGAGCAATCAGAAGAACAGAGTTGCCACTTGCTAACGCAGGAAAAACTGGGATGAACAGGCTGGGATGGAGATGTGGGGAACCCCAGGAGTTCATTTCCGGATGAGTTACGGTTGAGATGCGCGGTAGCAGTGGCAGCAGTAGTAGTTGAGCAGAAATGTCGAAGAGGCAGTTGGATATATGAGTCTGGACTCAGGGTGAGGCCCAGGCTAGAACGGATGAGATCACCAAGGTACAGAAGATGTCTGAGGACTGAGCTCTGCCCAACCCCTCCCCGCCCAGGACAGGGTTGGGGATGAACCAGCAAAGGAGACTGAGGAGTAGCCAGTGAGACAGGAAGAAAGGGTGGTGTTTGGGGAAGGAAGTCCAAGGAGGGAGTGATCTGCCATGTCCCCCGGGTGCTGAGAGGCAAAGTATCAGTGAGGACCAGGAACTGGCCATCTGGTCTGGCAAGTGAGGCCCCTGGCGATCCTGTCTAGGACACTTGGAACGGAGGGGACGGGGCCAGGCCTGATGGGAATGGGCTCAAGAGAGAACAGGAGGAGACAGACTTTCTGGAAACAGTGGGTGTGGGCAACTCTTCAGAGGGTTTTGCTAAAAAGGGGAGCACAGCAATGGAACAGTAGCTGGAGAAGGGATGTGAGGTCAAGAGAGGATTTTCTTTAAGTTGAAAGAAATAACAGCATGACTGTAGAAAAAATGTGATCATGCCGGAGAGCTGGGGGAGAGCTGCTGGAGCCACGTCCTTGAGTAGGCGAGAGGAGCGATCTATGCACGCCTGTCCCCTCCCTCTTGGCCTGGCTCACTCCTACTCAACACTCCAGGGTCAGCATAAAGGTCACTTTCTCAGAGAAGCTTTCCTGACCCCTCTGGTTAGGTCAGTTCCCTGTTCTACCCTTCCACTGCATACACTACTTCTGCCTCACGGCACTTAGGGGCTGTGTAACGATGGGTAAGCCCTGTGAGGGCAGGGGCTGGCTCTGTCCCGTTTGCAGCTGCATCTCCAGCAGCCAGCACACCGTCTGGCATACCACAGATGCTCAGTGGATATCTGGGGAAGGAACAAGTGGTCAGAATAGAACTGAAACAAATCTGGAGACACATGTCTGTTTTCTGCTCCCACCTGGCTTAATCGTGTTGCAGTGATGGGGACCGTGCAGTTACTGGCTGCTGGAAATATCTGGATTTAGAAGAGTTGTTTGCTCCTGTTTGGGCTCTGTAGCTTGGCTAACACACAGGCCAAAGCCACATGGCTAGACACATCCTTCCACTGACACTGTTCATTACAAACTGAACACATCCATACTATGTCTAGCAAATCATTCATTTAACAAATATTGCAGAAAGCTTGCTTAGTGCAGCATCCTGGGGATACAGGATGGAAACAGACACAGCACCAGCCTTTATGGAGCGTAGATCCATGAAGAGATCACACAGAATTCAGATTCATCTCAACTGTGATGGGTGTTACAAAGGGCACGTCCAGGGGGCGGCTAAATGGTATGAGGAGTGTGAGGCAGAGGAGGAGGGAGATGGGACAACCCTTCCTCTGCCTCCCCTCCCAGCTTCAAGCTGCCCTCGTGTGGTTCTCAGGCTCCAGGAGCGGCGGGGCCTCGGCCTGCTGCCTTCAGATGCCCAGTCCCCTCCTGTTTCCTTCCTACCTCTGCCGGGCCTGCCTGTCTCCTTCTGTGGCTCCCGGAAGGGCTGCCTCCTGAAGCTGTGTTTTTGGAAACATCTGCCCGATAAGAAGGCTGAGCTCACTTATGGCACAGGCCGCTGGCAGTGACAGGACCCTTACTGAGTCTGCCCTTCTGTTTACTTTCAGGGTTTCATAGTCTCTGCTCTCAAAGAAGAACCCCCACTTTGCAAGGACCATGAAGCCGCTGTGCATGACGTGCTGGTGGCTGGGACTGCTGGCCGCCCTGGGAGCGGCTGTGGGCCAGAAGGAGGGCTTTGAGGGCACAGAGGAGGGCTCGCCCAGCGAGTTCATCTACCTGAACAGGTACAAGCGGGCCGGCGAGTCCTCGGACAAGTGCACCTACACCTTCATCGTTCCCCAGCAGCGGGTTACGGGCGCCATCTGCGTCAACTCCAAGGAGCCCGAGGTGCTCCTGGAGAACCGGGTGCACAAGCAGGAGCTGGAGCTGCTCAACAACGAGCTGCTCAAGCAGAAGCGGCAGATCGAGACGCTGCAGCAGCTCGTGGAGGTGGACGGCGGCATCGTGAGCGAGGTGAAGCTGCTGCGCAAGGAAAGCCGCAACATGAACTCGCGGGTCACGCAGCTCTACATGCAGCTCCTGCACGAGATCATCCGCAAGCGGGACAATGCGCTCGAGCTCTCCCAGCTGGAGAACAGGATCCTCAACCAGACGGCTGACATGCTGCAGCTGGCCAGCAAGTACAAGGACCTGGAGCACAAGTACCAGCACCTGGCCACGCTGGCCCACAACCAGTCAGAGATCATCGCGCAGCTGGAGGAGCACTGCCAGCGGGTGCCCGCCGCCCAGCCCGTGCCCCAGCCGCCCCCCGCCGCCCCGCCCCGCGTCTACCAGCCGCCCCCCTACAACCGCATCATCAACCAGATCTCCACCAACGAGATCCAGAGCGACCAGAACCTGAAGGTGCTGCCGCCCCCTCTGCCCACCATGCCCACCCTCACCAGCCTCCCATCCTCCACAGACAAGCCGTCGGGTAAGTCCTTCCGGGAACCTGCAACATCTGGGCCTCAGGGCCAGGCACCAGGCTTCCCTTGGCTGTGACCACAAGTAGGGGAAGAGCCGTGGCAAGTTGAAGCCGGGCCAAAGGCTTGCACAATCAATCCCCCAGCGGTCCCTTGGGCCAAGCCGCAGGAGCCGGTGGGGTGAGAGAGGGACATTCCTCAGGTGGATGCTCCAAGGTAGAACCAGGAGACAGGGAAATCTCAGAAGACAACAAGTGTTTTCTGGCTTCTGATAGGAAAAAACCCAGGCCTGAGTCTTCTGGGCTCTGCGAGAGGTGCTCTGTGTTGGCAGGTAGGATGTCTCTCCTGCAAGCTCTCGTACTGTGCCTGGCACAGAACTGGCATTTAGTAAATGCTCACGGAAGAAACAACAGACCAGAGGAAAAGAAAGTGTTATCACAGCAGAAGTATGATGAACACACTGTAGGGAGGGGCTGCGGGGGAGGAAGGAGTACTTTCTAAAGCCCACACATTTCCTAGCGTCGGATGCATCTAGAATTTTCAGTGATGACTCCATACACTCTTAAATACATGTTTCATCTTAAATAAATATGGTAATTCTCAAAATATCATCATGCGGGAGGAATGGGGCTGCTGGTAGGTTTTGAAGCTTGACCCAGATACTGGCGCCGGGTGCTTTCATGTATATTATTACACCATTAACCCCTGCAGCTCCTTATGGAAGGTTAACTGAGAGGATGAGTGACTTGCTCACAGGCTTAGGATCCTCAGGCTGAGTCTGAATTCAGGCCTTTTCACTTTAAAGCTGGGGCTGACTCCTCTGTGCCTGAGGACTCTGGGAATCCTCACTCCGGGGGGAGCATGAGCCCAGCCCCCTGAAGCTCAGTCTCTCATTCAACCAGGACCTTGTGTGCCTTACAAATGGGCTGTCATATGAGGACTACGTTCGTCTTTGCAAAAAAGTGACCATGTATCTGCTTCAAGTCAGAGATATTTTTACTGAAAATATCCTGTTTTACATTTATTTCACACTTCTGAAAATAACCACCAGTACTGGGAAGAGCAGTTTCTTGCTAATTCCAGAGAAGGCTGAACCTGAGTGCACGAGGGTGGCCCACGCAAAAGACAAGGGCGGCGCTGTTTGCAGGTCTGTGGGGGTAGCCAGGTGCAGGGCAGAGCATCTTTCCTCGCAGCCAAGCCCTCTACTGGGTGTGCAGGTTGAGGACTTGTGCTCTGGAGCAGACTGACCTGGGTTCAAATTCTGATTTCCCCACTGATTAGCTCTGGGACATTAGGCAAGTCACTTTGCCCCTCAGAGCCTCAGTTTCCCCACCTATTAATAGAGGACGGATTAAAATAGTGCCTACCTGAGGATTAAATGAAATACTGCACAACATGTGGTTAGCACAGTTCTGGGCCCATGGTAAGTTTCAATACATGGTAGCTATGAGTTTCCTTTGGTCTTGGTCTCTTCATCTTGAAACAGGAGATTGAAATGTAAAAAACAGACCATTTTTAGCTCTAGCTTTCTACAGCTGATGACTGGTTCATCTGTACACATGTCTATTTTAAACAGGGAGTTCCAAAAGAGAGGGCAGAGTGTGCTAATACATCCTGATAGAACACCCAGAGGGTAAAACGTGCCCATGGCACCAAATGAAGGCTCAGCTGAATGATATAATTCTGACATGAGGCAGGCTGACCTCAATAGTTAGGCAATAGATCTCCTCTTGCTTAAGCATCTCTGGTTTCTGACTCAACAATTCCAGGACATTCCTGAGCTTGAACTAAGCTGGTGGATACATAGTGTAGGAATAAAGACCTAAGTTTGCACCCAGGCTCTACCTCTTATTAGCTGTTCGCTCATAAGAAAGTTATTTAGCTCTTCTGAGCCTTAATTTTCTCCTCTATAAAATGGGGAGAAGAGTCATACCATCACAGGGTTGCCGTGGAAACTCAATGCAATCAGACATGTGATATACATCATGTGGGGCAGCCAACAATAGCTGAGCCCCTACTCTTTGCCAATCACAGTGCTGGACTTGGGGGCTTGTGAAAACGACAGTCCTAACCTCCAGGAACTTAGTCTGGGGGAGACGGCAGATTCATGAATGCACTGGGACCTATCCAGTGCCCACCAGTTCTAGACCCTAAAATCAGCACATCAGGTCTGACAAAGGATTTCTCTGAGAGAGAGCACCTGTCAAAGCCAAAATTTCCAGAATGGTGTGAGAACTTATGGGACCAACATAACAAAGTACCTGAAATCAGGAATGCAGTGAAAATCATGGGCTGTGCAGTCACTATGGTAACACCACGGGGTGCTAAGTGCCCGCCTACAGGCACTACATCTATTAAGGTGGCATGACTGAGTCTGCCTGCAGTAGAAGGGACAAGTTGGACGGACGTGGGGACGTAAGAGTGAAGGATCTGTAAGAGTTTACCAGGTGGACTTGGGAGTTGGGCAATTGAGTTACTAGTGGGTCCCCAGTGGAGATGAATCCGTGCAAAGACCCAGGGGCGTGGCCCTAATCCTGGCACCTCAAGTCGTTTGGCTCTCCTGCTTCTTCACGTGCATAATTCAGCCTGGACTGTGTGCATTCCAAGGCTCCTGCGTGCAACCAACCCCTTTCTCTCCCACTTAAGGAAGCACACCTGCATGGAGGGAATGGCAGTGATTTTATTACAGAGGTAATCTGAATGCACTATCATTTACCTTTTTTTTTTTTTTTTTAAGCAAAGCCTTCCCAAATGTTGGTACTGATTGTCAGTAACTGATTCCTTGTGACTCATCTGACCACTGCACTCCCCACATGAGGCATTCCCTGCCGAGACTGAGCACCTGGCTACAGAAGCTGAAGGGGCGGGCAGAGCCTGGAGAGAGGCTGGGAGGCCCTGCCCTTTCCTGGTGTTGGACCAGGACAGGAGGAAAAGGCAGATGGTCACTCTCAGCCAATCGGCAGAGAGCTCTTATCAGGCCTGTTCTGAGAACTTAGCGGGCAGGTTCTGGTCTTGGAAGACAAAACCTTCCTCTGTGCTCTGGCCCAACAGATTCTTTGCTCTGGGGACATCGCTCAGCCAGAGACACTTCTGCAATTAAACACCTCTGCACTCAAGCCTTGGCAGCTCCTAAATCTTTCATTCCGCAACCTCAGAGCCACCTACTCTTTTCCTCATTGTCCGGGCCCGCTCAGCCTGCAACACGCCCTTCCCCAGGGGACTGAGGGATCCATGCCCCTTATCTGAAGCTGCGCTCACCAGCTTGTTCCCAGCCAGACAATAACAGGCTGGCCCCAGGCCAGGCCCAGGCCTCTGAGAGCCTGAGTGACGGAGGCCCAGGCAGCTCCCGGCTTCCCTGGCGTCTCACTTGGGTTTTGTCCCGTCTCTCTCGGGTCTGGCCAAACCTAAGGGCATTTCCATTAGGGTGATGCTTGTGATAAGGCCTGGGCCAAATGGCCCCGCCTGTGGCCCTCTCCCCTGGGGGGTCCCGTGGCTGCCGCCCTCCCTCCTCCTGTCCATTCTTCCTCATGCTTACACGTCCCCAACCTCCTCCTCCACCTGGGTGCCCTGTGCATGCACGTCAATCAGGTCTGCTAAAGAGGAAGGCTGCAGGGGGGGTCACTTTCTAAGAGGCCAAGGAGAGGACAGCATGGAGCCTCGGCTAGAGCCTGCTCTCAAGGTGGCTCTGGGAGGCAGGACACTACTCCTCAGCGCAGTCCAGGCACCGCCGTGCACATGCCAGCCCTCCTGCCACGGCGCCATCCTAGCGACTGACCAGAGAAGAAAAGGCAGTGTGACCACCAGCTGCCACAGTGAGGCCTTGTCTGAAATGAATCTTTAGAAACCAAAAGGAGTAGACATTTCTAGCTGTTTTCTCTCCTGAGAAAAACATAATCAGCTCAGTTTGTTTTCTCAGTGGATAAAGAGGGGACCATAAAATCATAAAATATTAGAGCTTGTTAGAGGCCTCTCGGATCCCCTGGCATAGCCTTCTTGTCCCAGAGTCTGTCAGTGACAGAGCCAACACTGGTCCCTGGACTTGTAACTTCCAGGATATTAAGGTTCAGAGAGGTTAAGTAACTTAGCTAAGATTACACAGCAAGTAAGTGGCTCAGCCAAGGCTCAAACCCAAGGGTGTCTTAGCCACTCTGGGATACTACACATTCCCATGGAAAGGCTAGGGGGCAACTGGTGTAAAAATCACTCTATAAATGCTTGACTTGACCCCAGGTGCCAGCTGCCTGGGACCTGACTCTCCATCACTATTTCATGTACCAGGTTCCAGGCAGCTCCTTGTAAAAGATCTGGTAGATTTGTTAGGTTTGTTATTAGAACTCTTAAGGTTCTGATAACAAAGACATCATTACTGTGAAAATAAGATAAAGAAAATAGAATTAAGTTAGCCTCATACTACGGAGTTTCTAAAACAACAGAGCTCTCCCACAGAAAACGTAACATGCACCTGACTTCCAGTAAATGGACCCAACTGAAGCTCCCGATAAATCTGATATTTCATTTGTATCATATCTGGACAAATTGTCTGGAATTACTTCTACTCAACATTTTTTTTTTCCGGTACGCGGGCCTCTCCCATTGCAGAGCACAGACTCCAGACGCGCAGGCTCAGTGGCCATGGCTCACAGGCCCAGCCACTCCGCAGCATGTGGGGTCTTCCCAGACCGGGGCACGGACCCGTGTCCCCTGCATCGGCAGGTGGACTCTCAACCACTGAGCCACCAGGGAAGCCCAACTCAGCATTTTAATGTATAGCTAAGTCTGAAGTCCTGATTTCTTTAAATGTGTTAACCCTAAATATATAAAAATCAGTAGCTATGATCTGCTCTTGGGGCCACATTAGGTGTCAACCACGCTGCTTCACAGATAACACACAGAAACCACCCATCCCTCACAACAGACGGTCCATGGCCAGGGAGGCACAGGCAACTTTAAGATTGTTTTCCTAGATGGATTTCTTCCCTTATATTTTATTTCCCATTATGAGGTAGGGAAT